AAACATTAATTGGTCAGATCGCTCACTGCTTTAGCATATAGCCACAGCAGCGCTTTAAAGTACCCCTCTTGTGGCCAAAAATTAGGTTATAAGTTACATAGCGGAAAATTTTTTCTGGGTGGAAACCTTTACTCCGCGGTGAAATCGTGTGACTTACCACCGCGGAGAAAAGGTTTATATCGCGCAGAAAACTTTATACCGCAAAGAAAAGGGTTACACCGTGGTCCGCATAGAAAAGGTTTAGACCTCGGTCCGCATAGAAAAGGTTTACACCGCGGTCCGCATAGAAAAGGTTTACATCGAGGAGAATGGGTTTACACCGCGGAGAAAAGGTTTATACCGCGAAGAAAACTTTATACCGCGGAGAAAAGGTTTACACCGCTGAGAAAGGTTTTCCATGTTTTGTTTTTTTAATTTATCACAGTTTTTACTGCTATTTCTCATATGAGTAGATTTGACCGACAACCAGGAAGATGTATCTTACGATATTGTGCGACTTAATTCCATTGGCAGCTTCAAAGTTGTTCACATTACAAATTCTGAAGGGGTTCAAGTGGTTTTGCGCATTAATTTCACTTCATTCACTGTTAGTCATCTCATAATATTTGTACTACGTGACTTGTAATAATTTATAATACTAGTTAATTTTGGTTGACGTCAAACCGCGCCATTCTTCAAAAGATGCTGACAATCCACGCATTATTCACCTGACTGAAGGAATATTATTACAACCAAGAACAAAATTGATATTGTGTGTGTGTGGTGAGGGGGTGTGTGCGTGTGTGTGTGGGGGGGGGGGGGGAGGGTAGATAACTCCAGAAAAAGAAAACAAAAATGAAGATATTATGGATAATCAATTCCTATATATGCCTATCTCTCCCATATTTTTAAAAGTGGGTCTTTAAACATACATTATGCAAGCGCTAAATCTGCCTATTGCAGGTCTTTCTTTAGGTCTGAAATGTTATCTAAATTATTAATTAGACATTAATTAACTTATCCAGACCATAATGAACTCTCGGTGGCATCGCTAGCCTACGTTATTTACTGGATTTGAATACGATCTGCTGCTCAACGCTCATTGATGATTAAATCAAAAAATGGATAACCTGACTATGTTTATTTATCGTACCGACTTTAGTGGTGATGATCGAGGCTAGGTCTAAAATTCAATCGTTAAATTCTCGGTTCAGAGTGGATCAATTTGAGTGAAATTTTCAACAAATTCCCTTTACATTATTTAGTTTTTTAACTATTATAGTGAGAACTGCTAGCTCTTTATTTAATCTCACATAATCTCTAAATTCTCGGTTCAGAGTGGATCATTTTGACTGAAATTTTCAGCAAATTCGCTTTCACTATTATAGTGAGAACTGCTAGCTCTTTATCTAATCTTCCACAATGTATCTTTAAGTTTATGTTTGTATTCATTCCCTCGTGTGATGTTTCTCGTCGTTATTTTCGGGGGATAACTTCGTTCAAACTTTCGCGGCATTTGCGAAACCAAACTGCAAATATGGTTTTGCGCTCGGTTCTCATTGATTTTAAGTTCTCAGTCTAAGAGCTCATCGCGAATGCTGTAGACAATGTAATATCAGCTTGTTCTAGTTGGTAGCGCCCATTGAATTTAAGCAACTCGGTCTGAGAGCTCATCGCGAATTCTGTTGACAATGTAATATCAGCTTGTTCTGGTTTGTAGGCTACAGATGCTGTGGATCGGCGTATACTAAGGAGATTTCCATTCTGAACATATGAGACACGCTACCCGCTACCTACGGAGAAAAACAGCTAGAGGTATATTTAGTTTTCGGGCGATAGATATACGTATGGGGGATTTCTAGCAACTTTATGATTTTCCACATGCTTTTCTATCAGCGATAATTGAATTATTAGCTTTTGAATAAAATGTCAACATCAACATCAGACATCAACCTGGTTTTATGGTGCCAAAGTAGTCGACCCTGAAATTTATCCCTATTCCCCAGGTGCTATAAATTCAAATTTGTTTTTATGTGGTTGTCTGCAAACAGATTAACAATGGATTTCTTTCGCAAAATCTTAAAGAGGCGTTAAACCCCATTTAACTCTGCGTATTGGGATTTTAACTAACTACTTCGTTCTGCGAATATATTACACCTCAAATTTGGTACAATCCGCGCTCATGGATATTCTTGTATTTTATCTACTTAGTCTATCTATTTAATAATAATTGAACATCAACGTTAAAGCTTAGGCCGATAACTGTTTGCTCAACGAAATAAAAGTCAAAACTAAATTGTTCTAGATGTTTCTATTCCATGTCACATAAACATTATGAAAACATTTAGTTTTATAAAAAGATAAAGTATTTTAAATAAAACAAAACCACATGACAAATAAATAATCTGCGTCAGAATGGACATAAAATGAGTCTCCATTTAAAGGGTTACATTGATGCAATATATGGATACAATTAAAATGAAATAATGAAATACATATTGCATTTAAATGAAGTAATGAAATACATACTAAATGAAGTAATGAAATACATATTAAATAAAGTAATGAAATGCATATTAAATGAAGTAATTAAATACATATTAAATGAAGTAATGAAATACATACTAATTAATGAAGTAATGAAATACATATTAAATGAAGTAATGAAATACATATTAAATGAAGTAATTAAATACTAATTAATGAAGTAATGAAATACATACTAATTAATGAAGTAATGAAATACATATTAAATGAAGTAATGAAACACAATCATATTAAATGAAGTAATGAAATACATATTAATTGATGTAAATAGTGTAGCTTATCCAACGTCTACAATGGAGATTTGGAGATTTTAAAAAACGAAAGCTACGGTATACAACGCGTATAGTTTTAAAACTGCACCAATTTTTAACAGTTTATTGACCAAACACTTTCTGTGCATGTTTTCCACGAATTATACTCGTTTTCTTTATATAATTCAAGAATTATTTTAGTTTTTCAAAATAATGATGTAGTATGTGGTAGTGTGGTAGCATTTGATAGTATTTGATAATATTTAAATAGTATTTCATAGTATTGGATAGTGTTGCAGGGACGGATCCAGGAACTCTTGCAGGAGGGGGTTTGCCAGGTTCCTGTTAAGTAAATTTGACAGTTGACAATGCATGATGCCATCATCGTCTCCCATTTACGTAGGCATACATACACACTGAGCTTTCTAAAGAGAGAAATCCAACACCCCGTTTGACGTCAATTTTTATTACGAACTAATAGGATCACATTTTGATTCAATTTCATTGATGCAAAGCATTAATTGTGAGATCACATGTCTATATCATTATCTAACGCTTTGAATGCCCATCCCATCCCACCATCTGATGATAAAGGATGAAACACACGACCGTAACACTTTTCTCATAAAAGTGTTGTCTTAACCCCCTCCTCGATCCGCCTTTGCGTTAGGTAAATCGTTTTACCCGTCTAGATGAGTCCAAGTAACAGGAAGTATGTAAAGCAAATATAACATGATAGATTGAATGAGAAAAATACAAGAGAATCCCGGTGACCTTCTTCTGAATGGAGGCAGAAAAGTAAATATAGAATGATAAATTGAATGACAAAAAAACAGTCGTTGACCTTTTTCTAAAAGGATGTAAAAAAAGTAAATATTAAATGATGTATTAATTGAGGAAACAGGTCGGAACACCATCGGTTATAAAATGTTCTGTTTTTCTGACAATAATCAGTTGCTTGTAAGATGGTCATAATGAAGGTTTTCGTACTCGTAATGTTAGCATGCACTGTAGGTGTACAGGTTACTCTAGGTAAGTCAAATTAAATGATAAACGGGTTTTAGTCCAGTGACACTTAAAAGTTCTTGTTGTTGTGACCGACTAGAAATCTATGGCTAGGTATCGGGTTCAAAATGCGATTCTATGGCGGGGTATCGGGTTCAAAATGCGATCTAGTGTAGAAAGTACAAAATCGAAAGTCAAAAGTAGAAAATCAGAAGTAAAGGGTATTTTAATGGTGGAAATATCATCAAGCTTTTTAACTTTAAACCGTCAGGATTCTACTTTCATGGACAGGATTTCTACTGTCTCCTTTCCGCTTTTGACTTCAGGCTTTTTTGCTTTCTACTGTTTACTTTTGACTTTCGGCTTTCCACTTTCAAGATGTTATTATACTCACAAGTTTCTAACGCAGATTTTCTCCAATACTATGGTGGCTGATAGTGGCCATGCGTTAGAAAATCTGAAGTAGAAAATCTGAAGTAGCAAGTCCAAAGTCAAAAGTTAAGAGTAGAAAGTAAAAAAACAGAAAATCAAAAATTGATAGTAGAAAGTAAAAATTCTGTCCATGAAAGTAGAATTAAAAACTGAAAATCTTAAGTACATAAAGCTAAAGGTTTTGATAAGAATTTTCATGTCTACTTCAGATCTTCTATTTTTTACTATTGACGTTCTGCTTTTTACTCTAGATTGCATTTTTAACCCAGTACCCCGCCATAGAAATCCGGTTGTGGACGACAAGTGACTGTTGCATGCCATGGTGTGCGCAGGCCTTTAGTTTCCCGAATTCGATGTAAAAACTTGGCCAGGCCAGTAGCCAGGTTGATGACTGTGTGGGGGAGGGCAGTGAGCGTTTTAGGAGGTATGCCCCCCCCCTTTCGCGGGGAGGGGGGGGGACAATTTTGGGCAGGTTCTGTAATCAAAATAGTTACTGACATAAAAAAAAAAATTCCAAACAAACTGAATCGTACTGCACATAGCTAAATATATAAAACATCAATTTCCAATCCAATGAAATAATGGCGAAACCGTACTGCATAATTATGTGATTTGATAAAATTCAACGGTTACGCCATATTTCAATCCTTTGTTTACGTAGGACATCGCACGTGATCAGCCGTCACCTTTATGCTGTTTTTGCCATTATCATTATGCTAATCACATGAGTTTATGGAAAACACCTGGGTAATGTCATGACGTCCTGTACATCATTAGAAACATAGCGTCGAAAATGTAGAACGCATTACCGCCAAGCAAAACGTTTTGGTAACTATTTTATTAATCCACTTTTTACTATTTGTGATTGAATGACTTTCAATTCAAACTGTGGTGCTGTGTGTTGAGAATTGTGCGTTTAGAGCTACTGTTACCTGCGCAAAGCCTCTAAGACTCTATCAGTTGCAGCGCCGTAAAAGACAAGACATCGCTACAATATTGCAGCTGACAAGTTCCCAGTCGATTCCGCTTTATATCTGCACAAACCGATGGTTAAAAAACAGAGACGACTATAAACCTTCAGTTCAGAGGATTTGAGAACGTCATAAATCTTACCTTAACATCATCAAAATCTCTGAGTCGCTATTTTATGAAGACCCTCGTCAACTCCAAACATCTAATTTTATCAAAAAGAAGAAGAAAATGTTTCGTGTATATTTCAGGAGCAGGCGATTCTAAATGTATTTCACGTGGTGGAAGATGTCAAATGACATCGTCACGTTGTTCTGGTGGAAGTTATTCTAGATATCTATGTGCTGGTGTCACAAGTCGACAATGTTGTATAAAAACCGGTAAGTAACCATTGTTCTTATTTCCTTCGCGATTGAGGTGACTGCAATAGTAGCTTTTGTTTTCGAATTTCAACTGCTCTTGTGACGTCTCTTATCTCTTATCACCCTCCACGCCCCCATCTCAACACTGCCTTGTGTTTTCAAAATTTCAAATTCCAGAACTCTTGTGCAAGATACGTTCTTGAACAAACCACGCTTCTTTTGCATTTACATTATGCACACCTATAGAAACTCCAATACTGGCCATTTTAGTTTTCTTTATTTACGTTTCAAACAAAGAAAAGTATTTGATTTGCATATATACCAAATAATTTATTAATGGTGATTCGTTGATTCAGAATCTCTAATAGGAATATCGGCCCAAATATGGTTCATTTCTATTCAGTATTTACAAAAATATGTTAAATTGAAATTTCACCAATCCATGCTTCTGGCTATGTAATAAGCCCGCCGCCTTTTTGTTGTGGGCGAACAGAATTGATAGGCATATTGTAAATCCGATTGAATCCAAGCCGGAAGTTTATCTAGCGTTGGTTTCCTCCCACTGCTAAAGCTCCTTCCACAAGCGAATTATTGAAATAAAATTGAACCATGTGTTAGTCCCGAAATGACCTAGTTTGTGTCGAGTGAACGTTTAACCCACCTCTCTCTCTCTCTCTCTCTCTCTCTCTCTCTCTTATCTAGCGTTGGTATTTTGATTTTGTTTTCTAAGTTAAGTGTTAAATAACCAATCTGAGTACATATTAGAGAAAAATGCAAAAGACGCATGGTTACTTTAATCTCCAAAATAATTTAATGGATGTCAACTAAAGTATCCATGTGTCTTTCTTAGGTCGGTGGTCACTCGGACCCATGGGCATCGAAATTAAACCTGTACTAAACTCCACAATATTTGTTTTCATAAATAGTTGATTATAATTCAGCACACACATAATGCAGTGAAACGTTTGAATAAAAAATGTCTTGAGATTGGGTTTTGTGTGATGATTCTAGATACGTATAAAATTTAGCACCTTGGCTATTTCCATTCTCCCGCTTAAACTGAACAAAGGATTCCAAACCAGTTCGGAAGATATCTTGTAGTGATTAGTCGTATGTGTTCAAATGAAGTTTCATTCATTCACATAAACTGCTTGATGGATTTCAACCTTTTTCGCAAATACGCTGCTAGAATACTGCTCATTCATAATTGTTTTAAAACCTAACTTGTTTAGAAAATGTTTGATGTATATGACGTTTGAGGTCGTGATTATATTTCAGGAGGCGATTCTAAATGTCAGTCAAGGGGTGGAAGATGTCAAATGACATCGTCAAGTTGTTCTGGTGGAAGTTATTCTAGATATCTATGTGCTGGTGTCTCAAGTCGACAATGTTGTATAAAATCTGGTAGTACTGGAGGTAAAAATTCTTATAATTTCCTTCAAACCTGTGATGATTGTAACGCTTGATTTAGTTGTTGTTTACAAATGTCAACCACCTTTGCCTTTACAATATTTGTGCTATGTCTATGTCTTTTAATGGGTACTTCCGTCAAACAAAGAGAAAATGACTGCTAAAATAATGTTTGATGCGACATGTATATTTGTTTGGTGTTTAGGGTCATTTATAACGTATCATTAGAAACAGTTTACAGTCGATATTTTATGTGGTTTCTTATCACCAGAAGCAGTTTCAGGGATGTAGAAATGATATGAAATGTGATTTAACGTCCCACTTTCCTGCATTAACCGGGCTATAGTATGGGGGCTGATTGTGGCGTTGTGGTCTACTCTTATTTCGAATTCCAATTGTCAAGGTTGTTTTTACGTGCACGCCAACGAATACAGGGCCTACAACAGGATCGAACTCCGGTCCTCCTGGTTAGTTAACCAGTGGTAGATCAAAAATGTTACGGTGGGTGTCCAATGTTGTGAAAATCAACAGAAAAAAATTCACCTTTGTTTTTTTCTTATTCTGCATCAGGAAGTTGTAGCAGTTCAACAGCTAAACAGAAAGCTTGCAGTATATTACGTCATCATCGCGCGGGAAGAATTACCTTAGCTAATCGCCACCCATCCGGAAAAACAGATCAAGCTTATCCACTGAAGAACATACAGGACGCATGTAATGGACGTAGGGTATCCCGTTCAAGGTAGGTACATTACGTGTCTTTGCTTCGGACTTTCAGATTCGGGCCCACCTTCCATGTACGCGTTTCCGCTCGCGAAAAAGTCGGTATAGTACAATGTAATGAAACCGTTTCCATGTAAGCGTTTTGCGCGCGAAAAAAAAAGAGTTGCTCGATGAGCTACTTTTTTTCGTTGGTGTTTTTTCTCTCGTGAAGTGTGCGCATGCGGATCTGGCGTACAAACACGGGTTCTCTTCCACTAAGTCAATTAACTGCTATTGTTTCTGCAAATTCAGCTTGCAAATGGTGGGTTTTTTGGACATGTTTTTATTATAAAAAGGTGGCGACTGAACGTTAACAATGTCGGGCTCCATGCTGTAAAGAGAAATCCTCACTTATGACGTCATTGACATGGGATTCCCCAATTTTTCTGTACACGCGTAGATGAAACGTGTTGTCGACATGATTTGGCAATATATATGTATATCTCAAATGTATTATTTCAGATATACATGTAGAGAGTGTTGGAGTCCCGGCGCACCTGGCGGCACTGTATGCTTAAGTGAAAAATTACTTACATACCTGGATTCCCTGGCGAGTCTTGGAAATATTTATGTAAGTATAAACAAAAACCAACAAAGTGTAATTTTATACACCTATTTGTCCATATTCCATGTAGGAATATAGCTAAAGTCGTAATATTTCAGTTGCGTTTCCTTTCGTTTTATTTTGATATTGTACAAATTTTGCACCGGACATATTTTCTTCGTGGTCGATGTTCAGTATATATGGTATATAGAGATGGATCTTGTGGGAAATTTTAGAAACCAAGCATACACGCGTGGTTCTGTAGGACTAGAGCATATTGAATATTGGCTGATACAAATTCATCTTGTTAGATCACGATGTATTGTAAAAATCAGAAAAAATAACGAAATGAAAGTTCATCTAATTTTAATTAGATTGTATTAACCAGTTAATTAAATGTAGAATTTGTTGTGATGCTTCTCAACAATATAGTCTCGGACATTACGCAGTTCAAAGGGTTTTACCCATTAAGCACGGCAGTTTGTTTCCAATTAAATTTAGGACTCGACGTGCAAACTTCCAGCATAATTATCAAATAATCAACGTCAGGAACTTTTCTTACCCCCTAAACCATATCAAATTAAGTTTTCTCCAGGGGAATCGTTTATTCCACCGATTTCCTTCTTTTAAAACTGATATCGGAAAAGATAGGTTAATGTCCATCACTCGTTTTATTTAGTGCGTGTAGCATACCAATGATCTGAATCTAGTTTTTAATCACATAATTATTTGTAGGTAACATCCATAGCTGGAGCTTGCCATAGTTGTAATTCAAGACATTATAGAGGCTTGGCTGTAGATCTTAGAAGACAGGGGCGATTTTCAGAATATATCCGTAAATGCGGAGCAATGGGTGGTCGTGGTATTGATGAAAGAAGCCATATCCATTGTCAGTTTTAGCGGTTTTGTTTGGTTTAATAAATAAAGTGGCATTTGACGAAATTATTAAGATATAAATTTATCTCATATCACTTTCAAAATTATTATAAGTTCATTTCTGTTATTAAGATGTGTAATTCCCAATGTCGATGTAATTAAATTCGCTGGGTTGTCTCAATTTTAAAATTTCCTCTGCAAATGGAAATTAAATAAAATATACCGAAATAAAATATAAAACTGTTGCATTTGTTGCTGTTCATTAAATACAATTGGTTAGTTTATCCACCATTTAAGTTTCCAGGACAATACTTAAAACAAGCTAGTCTCAAAATTTATATGTAGCTGATTGAGTTTGCTGTCGCTGGCTTTAATTAAAGGACCCGATCAACTTTAGAATACCGTTCAATGGTAGTTCGGGGAGAATTACTTCACCTGGTGCCACGAATGTAGTGCTTCTGTTTCTGGCAATTCTCACTTTCTCCCTTTTGCATGGCAATTTTTTTTGACTTTTTGATATAGAACGAAAGAAGAATGCTCGAATATCCATTTTCTGCCAGATTTGGCGAAGATGAAGTAATTAAACATGTTTTAGCGTGGTCGCCTACTAAACTGACGTCACTGCCTATTCCTTTGACCAAACCTAGCAAAACATCGAAATGGTCCCCCGATCCCTTTTAATATCTTTATCAGATAATCATGATATGTTGGTTAAAAAGAATGTTATAGGCCAAGAAATGTCATGGATTTACCATTGAAGTCAATGGGGGGAGAATTACTGGTCTGAAACCCTCCAGGGCCTGAGTACATATAAAGTTAAGCCCCTTTACAAGCTGGTACTACCTCATAATAATATCTTCATTCGCATTTAATTGTACACTTTCCTGGGGATAAAAATAACAAAAATTTCATAATATTTACAATGCTTAATTAGTTATCTACAGTTAAATCCATACACCATTCTTATGAAATACATGAATAATGAATGATTTCGCCAATATTACGGGATTTCATGGTGGCTAACTGGGTAAGACGCTGGCTCGCTAGCCTGGAGGTCGGGTGTTCGATCCCTGCAATGGCTGAGAAAGTTCATCCAGATTTTCCGGCGGGGGTCCCCCTTGTCAGTGAAGCAGGACAAAGGGATGAGACGAAAAACCGAGGTCCAGTCTACACTTTACCGTGCACATAAAAGATCCCTTGACAGATGGAATTCGATATAAGAGTAGGCCGTAGTGCCGCTGTCCGGGCCAAAATTTCCCTCATAACACACTGTATGGCGTATGCCCTTCTTCGTTATTCCAGTTCGTAACAGAACAGTCGGACGTTAAACCCCATTTCATTTTATTTCATTTCCAATATTACAGTCTTGTTTTGAGTCGCTAAATGACACCAAGTCTCTTATTCTATAATGCCCTTAAACTATTACGTTATGTTATATTTATTAATCATGTTTAATATATCATTTACATTCATGTCGTTAATATTATATTTAAAGAGATAAATGGGGTTGAAATGAACGTCCACTCGACACAAACTAGGACATTTCGGAACTACCACAATTATGGTTCAATTTTATTTCACTAATTCGCTTGTGTAATAATTTCGATGGTGAGATTTGTGATACATGTATGAATACTTATATAATCCTATAGATATATGGTCGTTGTAAAGGTTTCAAGGGATCTGTTACCTAATACCGAGCAAAAAATCTTAAGAAAGGGAGGAATGTAAGACTTTTGTTGAATATTTGCCTTTAAATTAATAATAGAATTATAATAATATTATATCTTTAACTAATTATTGGGTTCACATACATGTATTGTAGAGAAATCATATCTCACCAACTCAAATGAAGGGGTAAGTGGTTGACATATAAAGAGATTAATAAAACCAAAACATAGCTGGTTCTGTTGAAAACAAAATATCACCAGATCACTTGTGATAGGAAATTACTATTGCATCATTTGACTTAGTAACCAATCAGTATAATTATTTAAGTCATATTTAACCAATTAGATAATTAAAAGCCGAAAACCAAGGGTAGAAAACCATCAGAGCTCTGGTCGAAAGGTAGACAGTCGCTAAATTCTTAGAAAAAACACATGCATTGAGAGAGACATATCGCTGAGGTTCAAGAGACACCATCTAGGTTGAGTAGACTCCATTGATTCGTAGAAGAGAATGTGTTTCAGTCAGTAAACTCAATCTGCGAATTAGGGGTGGTGAGAAAGATGTTAAATTTAAGTATTGTAATGTAACCTATGTATCTGGGCTTGATATAAATGTAGAAACGAACTGTAGCATTGTTGTACCTGGTAGACAAACGCATTAACTACTGAGATAAAAATATATACACAACATGAGTCCTAGCCATAAGAATAGAATTACAAATATAGCCAGAGACAATAACAGACGACCACAAGTCTATTAAAGTGGAAAGTATTTATGTGTCTGGACTTTCCACATCCAACCAGAGACGCACAGCACTGCATATACTACACTTGCGCGTAGGGGTTTATAGTGGTGGGAGGAAACCGGAGGACCTGGAGAAAACCCACGAAGACAGGCGACCCAACTGCTTGTCACGTACAAGCGGGAAAATCACAACCACGCCACGTGACTCAATGACAAAAATTATGATACAACGCGCACGCGTTAATTATTCCGCCACCCAACTCCCACTAAACATAGACAGATTTCTATGCCATTTGAACATCCAACAGGTTTATTTAACATGATACACAATGCAATGTGCTATAAGGGAAATTTTGCCCGGACAACAGCTTTCCCCTACTCTCCATCGAATTCCAACAGTCAAGGGTTCTTTTACGTGCAGGCAAACGTGTACATGGGACCTCGGTTTTTCGTCACCATCCGAACGACTAGGCGCTTATCCTTCCTGCACCACTACCAAAGGGAAAACTCCGATGAAAAATCCTGAGCACCATTTGAAATGGACAAAGAAAAACATAATCTACAAAACAATGTGGAAGTAATTCAAAATGGCCGATTTAAAAACGACAAAATAATAAAAAAAAAACCCGTAGGCAGGCACAAAAAACTGCCGTTCATGTATTTCACCGAATATGATTGATCAGAAATTAAAAGATAATTTTAAAAAATTGAATGTAAATCACTTTATATAAACTCTAATTAAACTCATTTTCGTCTTATTTAAAGTTCCAAAGAATAGAGTCATAGGCCCTTTATCGTTTTTATTATTTTAAATTACATGTATATGGGTAGCAATATAATTTATTCATTGCTTAGCTCCGCTAAAGGCCTCAATGCGACCCTGGCAATAACTATATGCAACTCCTCAGGACAGATGCATAATTTATGAAAATCAAAAACAATCCACGGTTTCGTCTATTTCTTGGTACTTTAATCTTTAGATCGGATTCAGTTACGCCCGCTTCCTGCATAACCTGATAAGAGTGAAAGTTTGTCCAAATGGTCATTCGAGATTGCAAGAAAGCGATACACGTCTTATTTAAATCTTCGTTTTTACCTCAAATTTCTATCGACTGGTCGTTGGTTGGTAACGCTGAAGATAAAATGTGGAATTCAAAATAATATCATTATTTTTACGTCAATCCATTCAAAAAAATGAATTCATACTATTTTATATTAAGAATACAACAAGTTACAAAATTAAATAATTCTTGAGTAAAAAACTGTTTTCTTGACCTGCGCCCCAGGTCGTAAACACGTAAAAAAGTCTTAGGCAACTGGAATCCAATTAATGTGTTAATTTGAAAATAATCTGGACTGTTCTTATTGAACAATGCAAAAAATATAGTACAATTTAGAACAACTGAACACAATTACAGAATTGTAATCTTTTGTATTGTTTTGATCATAATGATGCAGTTCAGCATAACCGGGGTTGCAGTGAACTTTGTTCAACCTTATTCTTCCAAAAATATTGAACACCAGTGAAATGGAATGGGGTTTAACCTATAGTTAATATGGACACCGTGCGTGGTAATTGTTTTTTATGGGTCCTTATACGATCGCTTTTACTGCACAACGGGTTAAAAATTTCAAAATTGATCAATATTTTCAAATGATGACGATGACCAATTTAATAATATGATTTGCCGATGTGTAGAATTAAAACGAAATGCTCCCAAAATTTATAAACATTTCTACGACATCTATATTACACTAGCTGTGGTTCTATTGCAGCCCTTGTCCCCGTGTTGCGAGCGTCCCACCACGCCTCTGTTACTTCGAATTCCATCTGTCCAAGAATATCCACATGCATTCTAAACATTTACATAATAAAAGGTCGACCCAACCGAACCCAAACAAACCATTCGTCACAGTTTAATGGAGTTGTTTTCTTATGATACAAAAGTTAGGTGCACAAGATCCAATTATTTTCATAACATTCTCCTGGTGTACTCACGCTTTGAAGACCAAAGATACAATAATTGGAAAGGGTGCCAAAATCCATTAAATCACCGGATAAACATTTGTAAATTCCTGATGATATGCTAACATTTCCATGGTTTACTGGAAATTGTTCTTGGGGTTAGAATAGATGATGGTTTTTTCTCATTATTACTATACATATTTTTTTCACACGGTAAATCATTAATCCATTGTTTAGTTTTTAATGAGGAAGGCAACATATGTTCATCCAATATTTTCAATGAACTAGACGATAAGCAATTTTCATTCAACCGGTTTGGTTCATAAGTTCCACTGGCAGTATCCCAATAACGAGCAACACGCAGCATGGCTTTGTTTGTTTCTGGTTCCTGAGGGGTACGATGGGAGGGTCCAGGAGGTGGTACGTTATGTTTTGGCGATTTTACAGTTAATTGAAAAGCGGCGATCTTTGTAGTTTTCGTTGATTGCTTTTGTTGGAGCGTCTGCAAAAGATGTCTTCTTGCCAGCTGTACTTTGCCAGATTCGGATTTATTTACTTCCAACGTCATGTTATTATCGTGCGATCATATGGCCATAACTATGACTTCATGAACTTGGTTGAGTGTATCTTCTGTGGTCTGTAATTCAAAGGTAATATAGTTATACAATTCAGGTGAACGTAAACACGAGGCGGCGAGGCCCCGACAATAAATTAGCAGCTTACATCAAATTGATTATAGTGCCAGTAATGTTGAATTGGTAAATGTC